TGTGCTAGCAAGGAAGTGCCCGATCGACCTAGTCAGGTTCCTGGTGAAAGTTAGTCTTCATTGTATCTGAACATTTCCCCATGACTCGAAATATTTGCCATATTTCCCCATGAATAGATGATTCGCACATTTTGTGCGAGTCAATGTGGTCTGCAACCATTCCATTTTGAAAGCTGAGCTAGAGTGGTTTACTCTAATATTTACGTCGGTACAAGCACATGGGGGCTTACGCTTGTTGATACAAGTTCTGATAACTAGAGTCGATTTATATTTTTGGGATTTAATGTTGTGTTCCGCAGCGTCTTTGATAATTTTAATCTTATCACAACTGTGATTTTGGTGTTTTTGCGATTACAGTTAATTAGGGTCGGACATTGCGTGTAATTAATGTCGTTTTATTGGAATTTCTAATTACGAAATAAATTTGGCCAAAATTTTAGACTAAATTCCAACGCAACATATATATTATATATATACAAGTAAGAGAATGGGGAGGTTAGTCTTCTTTTTGCTTTATTAATTCTGGTGCTAGATCGTATTACGGCACTCTGACTATACTTTCCCCGCGCTCAGATTTGTTGTGCTGATTGTTTTCACTTCGTCCTCGTGAAATCCGTAGCGATCATCGAAGGAGGTCTTCTTGAAAACTATCGATTGGCTCGAACTGGTCAAATATACTGATCTCCTTCGTCTAGCGTTTATGGAAGTTCGTACAATCCCATCACATACCAAATTATTTTGGTCCTGCATTTCATCTCTAAGCCATGTTTATTAGCGAGTAGGTCATTTCCGCGTTTTTTCTCAGTCTCGACTGCTGTCAGTCATAGCGTTTTATGGACAATAAAATGAATTCCCAGCAGCTAGTTCCAAAAGATGGGCAAACCTCTGTTGTGTCCTTAGCATGATTAGCAGTCAATGATGGCAACTAAGAATTGAAGCTATTACAAGATCAAACCAAACGGAGAAAAAAAGGCATACAACAACAAAGATAGAATAAGTATTGTCGTATTCCATTTATGGAATTGTTAAAGCAGAATTACGAATTAGATACAATGATGAGATAAGAATAACAAATTTACGTCAAGTTTCGAATATTAAGTTCACATCAATATTATATATCAATAAACAGTCACGCGTAGATGAGAAACAACTTTGCCTAAGAGAAAATCTTGTAAAAGAACTTGAGTTCATATTTACTTGAAATACCATAAAATCACAAAAAAATACAGGCAGTAAACTGTTCGTTGCTTAAAGCACTACTTAGATAGCTGATGACCTTTCAAGACTAAAGTCGAGAATTACAAAATTCCACTGTATGAATTGTTACTGTTCTTCATCGTCCTAAAAAGTTTTTCTTACTATTACACATTTCATTGTTCAATGTGTGAAGCATAAGAGCAAACATTCTCCTCAATTTACTGCTCAAATTATCAACGTTAGAGCTATGAAACAGTATGCTTATATAAATTCAAGAACCTACAGATATCGACAGCTGCAATTTATTGCAGATTTCTAACACTGCAATGA